TCTGATTACCACACAGAGGGAAAGGAGATTATACATTTAATACTGCTCTGCCTCATGAATAATATAAAGAAACATGAGATATGCCAATAGTGCACAGGAATATATCACAACAAATAGAAAATATTGTGTTTATGAAAATATTCACGTAGTCTTAAGAGCAGAATGAGGCTTCCATGAAACACAACTTAGGAACGGTGTGGGGAGAGAAAGAAAGCAGAGACAGCAGCAGCTCAAAGGGAAAGTCTACAGTGGCCAGAGACTGCAGCGAGACAGCAGGGACATGGGACTCTGGCTTTCTACAGACTGAGTCTCCCATCCATGTGTCTGAAATGATGAAAGGACAGTGGACAGTGCACATTAACCATAAAATAAAGTACTGACAATTTCAAGTTTCCCGATTGTACTCAAATAGCTGTATGTATATGAACTGACAGCATCATCAGCTCTGGCCCAGAAAGCCAAATGCCCACAGAAAATCCCAAGAAGCCAGTTCGTTCTTAAGAGTCTGCTCTGTAGACAGTCTTAGGACAAGAGGATCCATTCTGCACAGCACACAACACGAGCCACTGGAAGAACTGGGAAATTAGAGTCTGAAGAGATTTAATAATTGGATAATACCACTCATCTCTGGAAAAGTAAGCTTTTCACAAAGAGATTTTAATGAACTGAATTGTTTTGCAAAGACTAGGTTGTAGCTATAAAATGCCACTGTTAAGCCTAATTCCTAATGACAGGTTACAGGTATCAAAGAACAGGTATATTGTGGCCATGAAGAATACCTGATTCAAAACCATGATACAGTCAAATGAGGTGAGGTAATAAATGTATAAGTGAACCAAGAAATCAGGATTTATAAAACATTTTGTTTTGCCTAATATAGTCTTACATTGAACAGTTTATTAAAATACTACATACACCTTTGGTCTGATTATAACTGTCCGATACATTAAAATTAATTTTGTTTAATAACTGACATAGCTCATAAATGAAGTGCCTTAGAACACTGACTAAGGGACTCCGGTGCAGCAGGTAGTAGAAGAAGGTGGAGATGGCTGAAGCCATCATCTGTCCTTTGGAATTATGGCAGAAGGGGCAACATTCTCAACTCAGAGGATCCATATTCCATGATCTATTAGTTCTGAATTCCATGGTCTTTATAAAAAATAAAAACTATACTGCTCTCGTGGTAATATAAAATATGTCTGGTTTTCCTGGGTTCCATATCAGGGAATTTACTTAACATGTGACAAACTAGGGGAATCACCATTTTTCCCCAAAGCACAAACAGGGATTCGAATTCACTAAGTAAACAGTCTTCTAAAATATCTGTTAATATTAAACTATGTCAATAATGATTTAAATTATTATCCTGGTTTTAAAGGGTAAGAATTAACCCATCAAATATGAAAACAGTTCACAAAATCATTCACCATACTCTTTCAAACCCATGTACATAGTCTTACCAAATCTTTTACAAAGGTTAGTTAAGATTCACCAAGGCAAAATTTGACAAAATTAAATCCAAGGAAGAGAAAATATGAATAAAAAGTTAACTGCATATATAAGCTTTGAATGATTGCAAATAAAATTATTGAAGGAACTTTTACATTACCATCTTAATTATTCCTTTTCCTGAGTTTAATGAAGGATCCTCATTTTCATTTGGGGCAAAACACTCAAGTTTTCATTTGTTTCTTTTATAATAGATCCAGATGTGTTTCTATGTGGCTGTTATTCTTTCTTTTCATTCTTTCTTTTCTATTAAAGATTGCAAACTGCAAAAAATATCAGCAGATTGAACTTGAAGAACATCTTGGAAGTAGCCACAGGATTCTGGTGACCTGTAGTTGATTGCTACAGTTCATTCTTACTGACCATGTGAGTTCATAAGTTCTAGGGCTCAATATTTTAGAAGGTTAAAAAAAGTGTCAAACTTCCTCAAACTGCTTCTGTAATCTTTATTAGCTTTAAGAAAAGGAATCAGGCCAGGCACGGTGGCACATGCTTTTAATCCTAGCACGCAGAAGACAAAGGCAGGTAGATCGAGGCCAGCCTGGTCTATAGAGTCCCAGGCCAGCCAGGGCTACATGGTGAGAGCCTATGAAGAAGAAAAGGAGGAGAGAAGGAGTGGTGGGGGGGGAGGAAGAGGAGGAAGAGGAAGAGGAGGAGGCAGAAGAGGAAGAGGAGGAGGAGGCAGAAGAGGAGGGGGGAAGAGAAGAAGAAGGAGGAGGGGGAGGAGGGGAGGGAAGAAGAAGAGGAGGAGGAGGAGAACAGAAGAAGAGAGAATCATCCTGCTTTATTCCTTGTTTTGTTCTATATTCAGATCAAAGAATGTTTCTTTTTTTGCAATAAAAAATTTTACTAGCCCTTAATCTCACATTTTCCTTTAAAAGCAAATTAAAATTAGCTGAACTATAATCTTTCTTCTAAATTTGATCATGTTTATGAATTGTCAAAAACTGTCTTCAAAAATATAGCTAACCCATATCCTCTACCACAGAAACAATTAAAAGTTTGAATATCAAAACCTGCTTTTTTAAATGTCAGAGATAAATAAGTTTTGTGTAAGGAGTGTTTCCAGCATTTGAAAAATTCTTGGAATGGTCTCATACTGATAAGATAAAGACTGACAAGCCGGGAAGCAGTGGCTTAAGACAGAAGCAACCACAAAAACACGTCTTACTGTTCCCTCTTACTGTTAAAAACATGAATTCTTGTTATAAAGACACCTAAATTCCTAATGAATATAACGCTGACATTAGGTATCATGGCTGTTTTATAACTTAGGTTGCTGAGTTCAAGTGCTAATCAGCTACATTTAAACAATGAAAAATACACATAACACTAGGGCAATTAAGCTTCTTTTAGAAAACTTGTGAAAAAGCATATGTTCTCTGCACATACGTGTGTGTGTGTGTGTGTGTGTGTGTGTGTGTGTGTGTATACACGTGAGTGGGTGCACATGGGTGTGGTACACATACATGTTTGCACATCCCTGTGGAGGTCAGAAGTCAACTTCTTCAGGTGCCTTTCACCCTGTGTTTTTGAGACAGCGTTTCTTGTTGGTCTGGGGCTCACCTATAGGCGAGATGTCCAGTCAGCAAGCCCCAGGGATCCCCCGGTGCTGGGGTTATAAATGGGGTTCTGCATATCAAACACAGGTCTTCATACTGGTGAGGCAAGCATTTTACCAACTGAACTACAGCCTCAGCCCTATCTTCTCAAACTGAATATCCAGATTAATATTTTAAGATTATGTTCCAACATTTCTAAAACACATCAGTTTCATGTTGTACCAATAAAATGTAATAACAATATTCCATTAAATATTCTGAATCTGCTGCCCATCAGCCAAGGTCTTCAGGCGCACATAGAAACCTCAGTTCTTAAGACAGCCAGATGATGTATCACTGGATAAAGAAGGGACTACACTGGAAACAGTGAAGAGGCAGGAAAATCCTAGCAACTGTAACCACCATAGGAACATCGCAGGGGAATCTCTCCATACCTGCTCCACAGCAGGAGAAACAGGGATCTGGCTGATCATGTTATTTAGCACCCTGAGTTCTTGGAGAAGGTGCTAGAGAAAAATGTAAGAAGCCACAGACTAGAGACGTTAACCCTCGCAGTAGGAACTAGACTGAAATCTTTAATAAGAGCAGAACAAGGGGACACCTGGACGGTTGTGTAATTAAGGACCTCAGCACGAGTTATGGAAGAGATATCAGGGTAAGAAATTATTCCAGGATTTAATTGTGAAGTCTGACCATCAAAAAATGTGAAAGACATTCCATCTTATTTCCATTTAGACTTGATTTAAAAACATCAATATGAATATGGAATATAGAATCGTAACAAAACAGACAAAAAAGTTTACACTAAATCCTCTTAGTGAGCTTGCTGAGGCAAAAAGTCAATTTATGTTAAGTCACCTCTTCAGACAGTCAGTCAAATGCAGTCACACTACCTGGAACACTAAAAATGATCAAAAAGGTGAACCAAGGATCTGCCTTAAAATCACTGGTATTCATCAGGAAGGCAGACTGAATAAATTAGGACTTCGTGCTACTGATACAGTAAAACTGCATGGAGGGTTGGAAATAACCTCAGTAAAGTACTGCTACAATTATGTGGTGTCACTGATCTCAGTGGGCTAGAATATACCTATAGCAAACAAGGGAGCAAAAAAATATCTGTGATTGGGTAAGCATAGCTTTTAGCATTCTGGGGATTAATCATAAGATGACCAGAGCTTTAATAAAATGCTTTCTAGAATTCACATATGCTTCTATTCAGAAATGGAAAATCATTTCCCTTCTCTCAAAGACTATTAGTTAAACTAATCATCAAGTATCTAAAGGAATGACAGAAATCAGCCCATTGCCTTCTTTTCCCAGATCCTATAATAATCTGCACGTTTTTACACTGCTACAAGACAAAAAAATAAAAAATAAAAAGAAATAACAGATGAAGAATTCTCTAAAATAGGTCAAAATTATTCAGAAGTTTTCCAGCTCTAGACTGCACGCTCCTTGAAGACTCACTGTCATTCACTGCTCTATCTCCTCTGGCATCCAAAGAGTGCAGTTCATATTTGCTAATAACAAATTAATTATTAACAACCTTTGCCCAGATTCTTCTCATAACTGGCCCAATCAGTCCTAACAAGTAAATAAAAGTCAGCTTCTCTCCATGGCCCCTTTAGGTAATAAAACACAAACCAAAAAAGTGGTTTATGGTAATACAAATAGCATCTGTATCTGCCTTGGAAACCAAGAGGTCCAACTTGGTGGTGTGGGGACAAATGGTGGAAGGGGAAACAGGAACTATTTCCATGTCACACCAGAGAAGACTGCTTCAACTCCTGCCTGGTCACCTACTAGTGCTGCTGTGTACAGCGTCCTTGAATGACAGCCCTGTGGGTGCTCCTGCTCCTGTGTGCATTTACAGCACGGAAAGCATGGAAGGATAATCAGATGAGAGTAATAAAGTACACTGACCTGGATCTGTTGCTGCAGGAGATTAATTTTGTGCTGCTGCTGCAGAAGTTGCTGCTGTTGTCTTGCAATCTATCAGAAATAAAGTTTCATTAGGTTAAATGAAATGCCATTACCACGGGTGTCTCCCCTGGTATCGCCAGAATGCTTTACTGCACCTCAACATGAAAGAGTTCCGAAATGAGAGGAACGGTGATTAAGTCAGTGGAAAGAAAAAGCCTCTGAACAGGTGCCACCCCTCTGCTTTACCTGAGGCATGCACTGCTCACTGGTACCCTAGCTGGGGGCAATGCACCTCCACCTGCGCTGCTTCGCTGGACATCATTGGACTTTGGAACCCTAATCCATGCAGAAAAGAGACAGGAAAACCCTAGCTACATTTGTCTAAAATGTTTGGTTGTAAAAGGTAAAATCTGTAAGCAAAGATAGAAAAAAACGATTCTTATAATTGCACCATAAGGTCTATCTTGACAGAAACATGCTGTGATGTTTGGAGTTGATAGACTTACAGATATTATCAAAGGAATACAAAAATTTAGTAGAAAGTAAAAACCCTTTAGTATCCCAGCTGTCTACAAAGAACTTTTAAGATGAATTAAGCTGCAACTTAAAATTCATCCAATTCTGAGAGTAATACAGTTATTTTGCAATACAGGATTTGCATTCCCTTTCTTGACCCACCAATAAAGTTCAAATTTCTAACAGGTCATCTGGTCTATAAAAAGAAATACTAATCACATAATGCAAGTCCTTACTCGGATCAAATCTGCCCTGAGAGGCCAAGTAACTTCCTTAGGATGCTGGTGCTTGCTGCTAAACTAAGCATGAGTTGGGCCTGGCTGCTCACTGCCTGCCTGATAGCTCGGCTGCCTCAGCCTTAAGCTCTAGACGAAGCCCCTTTCAGCTTCGACAGATGGACAAGCAGGGCAGGTAGAGCGCAGAAGCCCAGAGCACTTAAGAGGACCCAGTTTCATGGTGCCTTATGGTCAAGAGTTCCTACTTCTTCCTCTTTCCAAGGGCTGGGATTCTAGAGTGGGCTGTGTTGGAAATGAAAATAAGTGGTATTGGCTCCAGTCCCAAGTGCACTCTTTTTGAGCCTATGGGAAATGCCCACATCACATGTCAAACAGCATAAATGACAACACAGCTCCCTGGTGCTGCTTTACAGTTTCTGGTAATAACTGGCTCATACTGGCAGGGTGGTGCCTTGGCCTTTCAGAGACTCCAGTTTGAGACCACTCCTTCCCAGAGGTTTATGGACAATGCAAAGTAGTATTTAACTGGGATGCAGTGGCCTGCTCTGCCTGATTCAAATCAGAAATGGACAACTCACCCTGCAGCTCTAGGTATAAATTCTGGGTCCTCTGAATATTTATTTCCTCTTAGCAAACCAGTGAAACACCACTAGGCATCTAATATTGATGGTCCCTCCTAAATGATAAAGTGCTACATGGAGATGCATCCGAAACACCACAGTGCAATTACCATCATCCACTCTAGACGTATGGGTTTGACACAGTGAAGTATGGCACATAAGCACCATGTGGCTCAAACTCTGAATTTTATTTGCCAATCGGCTGAGCTACATGCTCGCTTCATTGAGCATGACAACCTAGTTTTAAGTGTCATTTAATTTTCATTTTGAAATATAATTACAAAGTGTTCACTGTAAGATATCACTCGTCTGCAAATGTGTCAAGATTAATTTGTGCTAGCTTATTCACAAGTGTCAATAGTTAATTACTGTGTCATCTCTGGATGGCTAAATGACATTCTAACTTCTGATTTTTTACAGTGTTCCTTTATGTTATTTTCCATTAGGGGCTGAGTCCATATTCCTACATGTGGGCAAATATTCAAGCATATAAAATACCAGACGTCACAACTCATTAAAATCAACAGAGCATATACTGCCCTATATATCCCTATAAAATACATTTAACTGAAAAGATAATTCCAGTAATAATGTCAGATTTCTAAAAACTGCACATTAATTTGAATCTGTCTCATCTGAGGCATCAGCAAGGATGCTATAGGGTCACTGTTGCTGCAATGAGAGGCAGGAAAATCGTTTGTGAACAAACACGATTCATCTTTTTAAAGATACACATTTCAACGGCTGTTTTTCCCTCATTCTCATTTCTCAATCAATCAAGTCAAATTCTTTCAGGAGCCATGTGCTAATTTGTTTCTGATGATTTACCTATGCTATACAGAGTGACTATATTTTTATCATCCAAACAATACAACTTCCAGAAGGACAAGGAATGGGGATTAGTAATTATCTTGGAAAGCAAGCATAAACCAGGGCTATTTGGCAAAAGCTGAGGCATGTGGTGGTTCTCGCTCTAACGACAGAGGAAATCACTGGGTTAGTGAGCTGAAAAGGCCCAACATTTTTCTAGAACAGAATCATTTCTTTTCTAGAGGAGGGAAACTCTTTTCTAGAGAGGAGTCACAGTCAAGTATGGGACTTCCTAGGATGCCTCTGGGAATGAGTCTGCCTGAGAAGTCAATCAAATCACACTTTCCAACACAGCAGCCCTTCCAGTGGTCCCCCTCCACCCCTTGCTGTGAAACCTTTCTTTGTCTTCACACAGGCCCTCAGTTTCCCAGGGCTCTCCTTCCTTTCCTCCCGTCTCTCCTTCTCCCCCTCCCCACCTTCGCTCTTCTCTCTCTTCTTTTCTGTCCTGTCCTTCTCTTCAGTTTTCTTGATTTTACTTTTTGAAGAAAGTTTATAGCAAGCAGACAAATCGATGCAGTTGCTTGCTGAGCCTGGTACGTTCCACGGCTCTGGTCCCTGAGCCCCTTTCGCTAGGCTCACCTGTTCTTGCTGTTGGCGAGCAAGGTCCATTTGCTGCCGCTGTTTTTCGATTTGTGAGGCTGCCAGTTTTTTCTGTTCATCATGTGCTGCCAGGAGCTGCTCCCGTAAGCTGATCAGCTGGGTGATCATGGTGGAGAGCTGCCGTTCTTTCTCTGCCAGGCTCTCAGGTGTACCTAAAATGGAAATGAGAAGAAGTCTCACAAGCTTGAGGAAAGTCTGAAGCAATCAGAGCAAGAAGGGCAGAGTTTAGAGGGGTTCCCTTAACCAAAGATCTGGGGCTATTACTCTCATCCCTGGCAGTGTAAGCATGCCTTCGGGCAGTTACTGTTACAGGACCAAAGCTAGGACTCACTGTTTCCATGCCAAGACAGTGTACTGTCACCAAGAACATCCTTACACAATCTCCCTTCTACCTCTAGAACAAGCAAAGCAGAACTGTCGACCCACTCACTCCTCTTCATGCTCCCCATCATTTTGATCAAGCTAAGGAACCTGAGGATCTATGGGTAGTTAGCGGTGGCTAGTGGAGACAGATTTTCCTTAGTGGTACAACCACTAGTAGGATGCCCATGCTCCTGTAGGTAACGCAGATTAAATTCATTGGGTCACCAAAGGAAACGAAAAGGATATGAAAATCAAAGGGGGACTAGTCAGAAAGAGGAAGGAGAAAACAGGCAACAGGCTAGAGGGGAAAACAGAGAACAGCGTGTAATGAGGGGTAAATATAGTCAAAATATATTACATACAGATGTATGAGAATGTGGTAATGAAACTCAGTATTGATTATAACTAATATATGCTAATAAAAAACTTTCAAAAACCAAAGTTCTATAGTTCTGAACTAAAGTTCAGAAATTACAGATCATTTTAACATTCTATAATTGCCTCTCTCCTCAGTGACAGACACAATACCAATACCTAAGACATTGTAGGTGCTTACTAAACACTATCTAAGGAGCTTTCTGGTGATATCTGTCTGAAATTCAGAGATCAGAGGTCATGGAATGAGTTCTCCAGAGAGAATAAAAACGGCCTTAGATAAGAGAGTTGCCCTCCCTCTCCTCCCCAGGAAGGGATCAAGCTAAGGCTTCCAAGTTTATCCTTAAAGGCAACCATGTTGTTTGGGGGGGGGGGTCTCCCTCACCCCCTTGCCATTTGTCATTCTTCAAAGGGAAAGAACAGCCTTTCAGGTTGAAAAGGTTATGCATAAGGATGTACTGTTTAATGAGTGAGAAGCTACTGAGCACTTACGGTATGCACTAATGGTGCTGAGCAGTCTTTTTATGGGCAAATTGCACAGCTCTCCTAAGTAAAGGGGACAGAATCCTTTTGTGAATCTAAATTAGAGCATTTTACTGCAGCATAGGATAAAATTCCAACCCACTGTATGTGAGCCACACAGATTTCATTATGAAGAAGTGATCTACGATTTGAAAGCTTTTCAGAAAGACGCCAGCAGTTGTCAAAGGGGACGAAGATTGCAGACTTTTGTGTGTGTGTGGAAGAGGAGACTTCCAACCTTGTGACACCCTCCTCATGCCTGCTAAGAAGGTACCAGAGCAATCTAAGAGACTAAAATTACCTTATGTGTGGCCTGTTTTCTAAGGGGCCTGAGGAGGACACTGCCTAGTGTTTGCTGACCTATGATTTCCCACAAGGTTAGACAATGTCTGAAGAGTAGCCACCCCAGTGAAGACTACCTCTGGGTTCTCTTTTTAATTAATTAATTTTATTCGATGTGTATGAGTGCTTGCCTTGCTTCCAGAAAGGTGGCTGGTCCCCCACAGGCCAGAAGGGAGTGTCCGAGCTCCTGGAACTGGAGTTACAGTTGGTTTTGAGAGGCCATGTGCATACTGGTCCTTTGCAAGAACAGCAAGTACTGTTAATCACTGAGCACTCTTAATCTCAAAGCCCCCTTTGGATTCTTAGTATCACTTAGGTTCTTAAGAAAAAAGAACTATCAGGGTTGGAGAGATGGCTGAGCGGTTAACAACACCAGCTGTTCCTGCAGAAGACCTGGGTTCAAATGCCAGCACCCACATGGCAGCTAACAATTGTCCGTAACTCCAGTACTAGGGGATCCGACAGCCTTCTGTCCTCCACGGGCATTGCACGACATGGGTGCACTTACCTACACGCAGGCAATACACGCATACACATAAAATAATAAATTTAAAAAACTGAAAAAAAAAAGAAAAAAGAACTGTCTGTGTTCCTGAAAGAATGGCTGATCTGAAAAGTACCTATAATCAAACTTGAAAGAAAAAATAGTGAGGTATTGGGAAAGTACAAACCACTAATAAGGAACTAACAGAAGTCAAGATTAAGAACTAGCTATTTGTTGTAACTCTGGAAATAATTAAAAAGAAAAAGATGAGCTCTATTTCACTAAAAAATGATTTTAGTTTGGTTAGATAGAACTTGTTGATCCAGAAATATTGAACAACAAAACCATAAAAGTTGGCTAAAAAGGAGATGCGAGTCTCTTCAAAAGCACAAAAAAGCTCAATGACATTTTTGTGAATATGTGTAGAAGTAAAAAGCTACAAGAAGAGTAACATTATTTATTTATTTACTTATTTCCATTTTATTCAGGAAATATCTCCTGAGTAGTAACAATGTGCCAAGTCATTACCTATATGAATGTAAACTGCAACTTACAACTAAAGAATTGCAATCCAGGCAAATATTTTAGGGAAGTTCACCCAAATTTGGAGGGTCCAAGTTCAAGGGAAGTAGCCTAGAAAAGTGACCATCAAGTACAAGGACAGGCAAGATGTGGGTGTCCACACCTTTAATCCTAGCACCAGAGGCAGAGGCAGGCTGATCTCTGTGAGATCAAGGCCAGTTCTAGGCCTGGGGCTACAGGGAAACCCTGTCTCAAAAAAAGAAAGGAAAACAGAAAGAAAGAACAAGTGTTAAACAGGGAAAGAGCTGTGGACACAAAGAACTTCCCAGGAAATGGCAAACACTGCACGGCAAAGAACTACACCCAAAGGGAAGGTTGCAGAGGGTCATTACTGGTCAAGAACTTTCCAGAAGGAAGAACAATACAGGCTTAGGCTCTGCGTATGTGCAGTGGGAGTACATGGGCTTTGGTGTGTTCCAGAAATTGAATCAAGGTCATTGAATTTGAACGAGGAAAATAAGGGAAGTAGGGTGTCACATGAGGCTAGAGAGACAGGAAAACGCCACACCATGCGGCCCAGATAGACCGTGTTTGACGAGCTCTCTCTGTTCTGAAGTATTTCAAGCAAGGATAATGTGGCCATTCTGCTGACATATGGGGAATAACTAGGAAAGTTACGAGATAAATGGAAAGTGTGGATATTTTATTACACATATTCTGTGCCCTGTTCTAAATCTAATTCGATTTTTTGTTATACAGAACTATATGGGGTGAGGTAAGAAAATTCTTGGATACTGGGACAGTTGCTACACTATGTACTTTGTTAATGAAGGGGCGCCACAGAATATTTTGGGCAAGGACCAAAAGCACAAGACTTGGATTTGACGTTTGAATTTGTCAGTGAAGATGAAATCTTTCCTTCTCCAGTGTGAAAGTCTTACCAACAATCTTTCACTTCTTTCCCTTTCTCTTCTGCTTAATAAACAGAGAAGCTGAGTACAATACCTGACAGCCTATTCCGTTCAAGATGGGGACAATAGGTCTCTAAGTGCACAATGTCTCCATTACTAATAAATATCCAGACCTCAGCGTACAGAACCGCACCATTTAACTGAATCATTTCACGAATTATAGTGTCATTCAAATTGCTTAATTGGAAACATTCAGTGGCATGTAAATAAATCTTTCACTGGACTTAGATATATGTTTAGAAAAACAAACAAGGCAGATGGCAGTATTTGTAAGTTAAGGATTTAGACATTAATATAAAACTGTCATCACCATTTCCCTAAACTTGAATAATATATATCTATAGATAGGTAAATAGATGATTAATTGATACATGATTGATAGATGATAGATAGACGGTTGGTCAGTGACTGACAGTTGATAAAGATAGATGATAGAGATAAGTAGATATTTGTGTAGTTACGTATCATAACAGATGAAGTTGAAGTGAAATGTAGTGTAAAAAAATCTAAAATATTTTTGAATGAAAAGTTGTATGTACGGCCATGTAGCCCTTGGGGCTCAAATTAGAAGAGAAATTTACACACTACAGTAGCTTACATTCTCTAAATACATAGGCCTGTGTGTATGTGTGTGTGTGTGTGTGTGTGTGTGTGTGTGCGTGTGTGTGTGTGTTCTGTACCCATTGTATACATTTGACATAACAGTTTAAAGATCAGCATTTGAACCTACACTAATAAAATTTGTTTTAATTAACAAAGTGTTTACACTGTTGTAATAAAAATATGAAGTGTGAACCGTATCGACTAAACCAACCTGAGAACAGAAGTTATTTCATCTCAAAAGATTCACTTAATCGAACTGAACCGTTACTGCAAAGAAACTAGAATTGTCAGAACTACAGCAAGAAGACACAGCCAGCAAGGGCACCCAGGGAGTGCTGGGAAGGCGGGGCACCAGAGGATGCTCCTTCAGCAACCTCAAGACTGAGGAAAATCTTACCCTAAATCATACTTTGAGGTTTGACAAAATCAACTTGGAAAAAAAAATAGACCAGAGCCCGAGGATGCACCCAAACCAGCAGAGGTCATCGGTAGCTGCCCAACGTCATCTGTTTCACATCTTTTAGGCTGTCTTAAAAGGACTCTCTAAAAAGCACTGCCAGAAAATAACCTCTTTGGCCTCCCACACAAAGCCACAAAAGGGGAAACAGCAAAAGAGCTTCTGTACACAGCTTCTCCCCAAGTCATCCTGCCTGCTTTTACCCGGTATCACACGGTGTGCGCTAACACTCTCCACACGTGCTGTATCCGTCCAACACCAAAGACAGAGCTGTGGGGTTTTCTCTCTTTGCCTTCTTTTCTTTTTTCCATCGGGTCATCTTTATCCCCAAACCACATCTGTCTTGAGTTTCTCTAGGATTAGTCAGGTGGATCAGTGCTCCCCAGGGCCTGCTCCAGCTGAAGTATTTTAATTTGACTAAACACCTGATTTATTTTATGTCTCCGATGAGAAAGGCAGTTTGTCTTAATAGAGCCTGTCAGCCCACAGCCCCATTCACAGCAATTTACAGGC